AAGATTTGCTTTATTAACTGAAAAATGCACCAAACTTTAAAAAAAATACATTGATAGATGATTCAGATAAGCATATCTTATATTTATGGGATTTGAATTCATATATGTATATAATTTAAACTATAGTCATAACAGTATTTACTGAACATAATAATAATTAGAGTTCCTAATGAGATAGAGCCTGCCCCCCACCCCCTTTCAAGGCACAATCAAAGCCTCTGCATATCATTGACCTCACTACACAGATGTAACAAATGAAGGTATTTGGTTTTGATACATACTTTACATAGCACAGAAAATGATTTAAAGGGTCCAACCTTTTTGTCTACAGACATACAAGCCTTAGGGACAAACAGCTAGAAAGATGGACATACACAGTAATGTCAGTAATACCCTTACAACCAACCCCTACAACTATAATGCAGGTTAGGGGGTCTCAATAGGACAGATTCTGAGATTGCTGTAATGAATTAAACTATTTAGGCATATATGCCAGTAGCACATGTAACTATAAACTTTACCTTGTTTTTCTCTTTGATCGTACCCATATTCTCTTGGTTGATCATCCAGCCTAGCATCTGTACGGTTTTCTAAATAATTTTAAAAAAGGAATAAAAACATCACTTTAAAATCATTTCACATGTAACACAAGTCAAGGGAAAGAACTCTCCAGTTTTTAAAGGCAAATAAGATGTCCTGTTTTGAAAAGATTACAAAGTATAGAAGAGTATGGCCAATCAGAGCAGCACCTTACAACAACAAATATTTTATTATTTAATTTTATTATTTACTGATGAGTTCACTGCTAAATGAGATATAATTACATTGTCCATAATTTCAAATCTTACTTTCATTATGAATATATTTTCTTCATTGTAGTATGAAATGGATTGAACAGCAGGCATGAATGCCTATAACCTATAATTGTTCTCTCCACAGGAGCAAATTATTCATTTTCAATTAATTATTTTCTGATTGTTGATGCTAATAATATGTCACTTCCCAATCAGTGTTAAGAATTATGTTTACTAGCACATCACATATATATGTTGAAATGAATTGTGATACTGAGATATTCTGAGGAGTTATCAAACTTTAAACAATATTTACTGAACATTTACCTGAATAATTTCAAAGGACATGTCAATACCTTTGCAAATCATACAACTTAATTCATTTTTACATGCATCAATCATGTGAAATTCATGTTGTAATTACAAAACTTAAAATAACTTTTCTCTAAAAAGAAAAGAAAAAACAAACAAACAAAAAAAACAAAAAAAAAAAAAACAAAAAACACAAGAGCTACACTATTACAAAATACTGTACCAGTATATATGCATACAGCAGTCTTGTAACAAAACAATATGTCTTTAGTTACCTTCTAGTGCTGAGGCACCTAAAGAGGTCATGCTCTCACCAACATTCCCAGAATTCACTCTGTTCACCTCACCCGCAGATGAGTCCATTCCTACAATTCATGACATTATAATTAAAACAAAATTAAGAACAAGAAAACTAGGCAACAAGAAACTTATGACCTAGTCTCAAAATTACTACTTATCTATAAAAATAATTGAAAATAGACAGAGCAAACCTCAAGAAAAATTATTACACTGTATCACAAGGAAGTTACATTGAGATGGATTACTCAGGGAATTTAAGAAAGAGATGTAAAAAGATAATCTGTAATGATCTTGCAGTTTTAAAGCAGGAGAGGAAAAGACAGAGAGAAGAAATATCAATGGCACAGGCTCTACTGTAGTCAGTGGACTAAGTAACCCTGCCACTTTACAGTCACTGCTCCTCATACCTGGTATTGTTAATGGTGTCTCTCGGGGTCTCTCTGTGTTTGTTTGTTCCTGATTCTCCAGTTTTTCTATAATGTCCAGTATAGCTGACGCTGTCATGGGTGGGGGATGTCTTCTTCCTGCGGAGTTACAGATCATTACATAATTATTGTATTGGACACAAAATCAGTAAACAAGATTTATCTTTTGCACCCATTTCCTTAAAAGTAACTAAAAATACTTATAGTTTGTTTTTGTATTTTTTTTTCTCTCAAACAATCTGAAACAACCACTGGACAACTGCAGTTGCAACTGCAAGCAAAGAAACTTAGCTGATAAACTGTTATGCCTTTGTTTGGTATATAAAAAGAAGTATATCTGGGCTTTGGTAATCAGAAAATCAATAATCCTGACCATTCACCTTCTTGACAATTGTTAGGAACAAAATATATATTTTTATCTACGCATTGTAAAATGTATTTTTCATTAGTTTGCACACTTCCTTAGTCCACTTAATATGCTTGGGATTACGGGTGTTCAAGTTAAGAAGGTGGGACTCTATAGAAGTGTCTAGGCTAATATGACTGCACTCTATATAAGCTTACCAGGTTTTAGGTTTCTCCTCCAATCATTCATTGCTCTCTGTATGATCTGGTTGTTGTATCCCATCTCCCTCAGGGCCTGGGCTATGGCAGTCTCCTCATCTCTCT